AGTAATAATTCTGCGTATTATGGTGCATATGTTTGAGCATTTGTGTCATAACGTGCACATTACAATGCTTCAAAATGCATATTACTTGCCATCCTATTGTTTTCAATGGTTCTGGGTCACCTATTTGCATTATGTTACGACATACAGAATAGTTTGTCAGTGGGTTTTTTTCATCTGTCAACATGTGTCATGTCATAGAAGTCAATTTTCATGGGCTGCAAATGCATGGTTACGGAGCCCCACCCCTAGCAATAGACCATGCCCTCTTGGCCTAGCGACATGTGGGAATTATCAGTCTCTTCTCACATCTCCCTAGATGCCAAGAAAACGCACAATGAAAACCCACATATTAAAATGCATGAAGAGAACTCAAAACAATTTGCATAGGTGTGAAGCCAGCCTCACTGAAAATGATTCTTAGGTTAGTATATTTGAATTATGTGAGTATGTAAACAAAAATCTATTATTCAGCATATTTGGCATCTTATGTCACTGTATACAGTTTCTTACCGGGACATCCTTCAGATAAACTCACTTCCTGTTTTAGACTGACAATACTAAAATGCTGCCTTGCAATGAACAGAAGTGTTGTCAGCCCGCCTTGCACACTAATTCAGTTCACCTTCGGGCTTCGCCTATGCAGCCCAAACAGCAAAGAAACGAGAAGGGATTGCAGACAATGCTGCTGCAAATCGCAATGCAGCACCTTAGCACTAGCAACTTGCAATAAAAAAAAGTGTTGTTGCTGGCAGGATCTCCAGGTAGGAAACCTTGAAACAGGTTAAAGAAAAATGATATGCTTAGTAATAAAACTGTATACAGTGAGGCATGATGTCAAGCACAACAATCCTAAATAAATCCAAGCTCCACCAGCATTCTGCAGCACTTCCCTTCCTCTATCCAAGGTGATTAAAGGAGGCAAAGAGCTACAGAATGGTGCTGGAGCCTGTCTGATACTCGGGATGGCCTTCCCTGTGCACAGCCTGCCCCTGGAAGATACACACTGGGATGTTCTGTCCTGCAGATCCTACATTGATAGGTCATTATCCTCTAGCAGGTCACTTTTGGACAGCACTGGTTGTGGGATATACACTGTTCTTTAGTGGAATTGACACAGCAGTGATTAAAAAAAAAACATTTTTTTTTAAATAATAATAATAAAATATACGGTAATGTTGTTTATTTAAAGACCTTTGGTTGCAGTTTGTAGGGACTGCGGGTTCCTTCAAACCAGATGCATTGGGCTATGCTGGGCATCTTCGCCCAGCGGTGACCCAACACAGACACCAGCACTTATTATATTTAAGGTCCATCTCAAGTTAAAAGCAAACTACGTTTGCAGTGGGGCTACCCTTGCTCATTTTTTTTCTTGTGGACCTTTGTAAAGGACTTACTTACCAAATCCCCAACACCCGAAGGTTCCAAGCCCAGCACTCACAGACTCTTCACCCCATGCTCTGGCAGTCTGAGGCCCACTGATGTAATTGAGTCTAATGCAGAGCCCTTCATTATATATGAAGTTTGCAAGGGACAGTCCATGAGCCAGAGTATAGGGGAAAGAGGTGAGTGACGACTGCCGGGGTAGTGGGGGGAAATCAGGCAAGTAAAAGTCCTTTACACAGGTCCACTAGACAAAAATTAACAATTAACCCTTACAGTGCAAGGGTAGCCCCACTGCAAGGAGAGGATTTTTGTTTTTTTACCCAGAGCCAAGCTTTAATATATCGGTTACCTTTTTTTTCACGGATACTGAGACGTTTCCCACATTTTATTATGTTAAATAAACTTCAATAGTGACTTTGGGTTTACATACATTTGGGTTTTTGTAATTAGCAATATTGTATCTTCCCTTTAAGGTTAGCAGCTTCTACTTTTAACTGCACATCCACTTGACCTCAGTCAGATGACCATTTCCGTATATAGTGAACGTTGCATGACACTCTAAACAGAGGGGCACAACAATAAAGCAATCTGTCTGAAGATATCATATAGAAATGGAGTGAAATATTTAAAATATGAATCAGTCAAACATACAAACAAGTCCACTGTCCAAACTCTACAAACTAACCAGGCCCTACTGAATACCAGGGTACACAGAGTTGCCTTGAAAGCTCACATTTTGTAATTTTCAAAGCAGCAATAATGTTCAAAACCGTTATTTACCTTAGAAAATCAATAAAGTTAATCCATGGAAAAACTGCACGGAAAAGCAGTCAAACACAGTGATCAAGAGAAGAAAATTTTAGAACAAACCACTGCAGTAATGATGCAATAGGATAAGCAGGCATTCAGCCGCTTCACAAGATTAACAACATCTTGGATGATAAATAAAACAAACAAAACAAAAAAAAAACAAAAAACACACAAACACTGGAGGTGACCAATAGCTCAACAAAGGCTACACAACATCCTAAAATACAGCCCATCTTACAACAGCACAGAATTACATTTTCATGGGCATGGAACCCTTTTGGTCATTTCCTGTGTTAATGTACACCATATGTTATGGTGCGATTATTGTCAGATATGTACCATCAAAAAAACGGATCGCATACCAACATGAAACGTCCAGGTCATCTGACACAAATATTTTGATGCAAGCTTGAGTCATCAGAAATCTACTGTATGTTAATAGGACCATTCCCAGACTTTTGATAAGATCAGTTTACCATCAACACCGAATAACAAAAATGCATGAATGTGCTTGAAATTCAAGAAGCAGGAGCTATCTGCATTGGCCCTGAGCCCCCAGCACTTCTTAACCTTTCTGGATTGGAAGCTGGTGGTTGCAAGAGCTTTAAAAGAGCAGTTCCAGTCATTACCAAGTCCTGCAATTTTTGCAGTGTTGCAGGATTGGTTAGTGCTATATGAATAAATGATAATTCCTTTCAAGCCAGCAAGAAAATAACCTTACAGACTACACAAAACTACATCTAACATGCCATTTGCTTCCAGCTAATTAGGCTCCAAGGGATTGACTTCCCTTTCAAACTAATGTTAGGGGGAGAAAAACAAATCAAGATACACAACCTAGAAACTGCATTGAAAAAAATTGCAGAATACAATAGTAGTAATATACACAAGACTTGCAGAACCAGTACGTAGCAGCTAAACAGCGATGCATGGAAAGAAGACAAAAAAAAAAGACTCAAAAGTGGGGGGAGGGAGTGGGCCAGAGCCAGATCTTTTTCATAAGCAAATACACAGCACAATTGTTTTATTCATAATCCCAAAGTTAAACAAGTTGCAAAATGTTGGCAGAAAATAAAAATATTGCTCATCTCATCTGTGGAAAGGGCTAAAATAAATACAGAGAGAGGAGAAATAAATACAGATGTGCCGACCATAGTGTGCTTTGGGTGTTCCATGTATCCCTTATAGGACGACTTGTTACTTCCCCAGTCAGAGCTGAAAGATTGAAAGGTGTGTGTGGGGGTGTGTGGGTGGGGGGGGGGGTGTGTGTGTGTGTGTAAAATTAGGGGTTAAAGCTTACCTTCTGTTAGCCAGGCTTCCTGGAATTGGCTTAAATCCTGGAAGAGATCTGAAAAAAGAGAAGACTATGTGAATCTATAGCTTATTAATCAAACAATACACAATTATTTTATCAATGCATTTTTAGGTCTCATTTGTTGTTAAACACATTTGGAACTAAGGCTACAGAGGCATCATCTTGCCCCTCTCTATTTGATTGTAAGCTCTTGTGGCCAAGGCCTTATTACCCCCCCGTATTGAAATATATTGTATTTGTACAGTCTCCTCCCTTTACTTTGTAAAGTGCCACACTAACTGTTGGCATTATATAAACCCTGTATAATAATACTATTGCAAACTGCATGCACCTCAGATAACGTATAGCTTGACAGGCAAGCACAATATCACCATTAAATAAGCTTAAGATATATCATCCCTCCATGTCTCCTAAACAGTAGTGAATATAAGGATGGTCCACTGTGCAGATGGAGCTGGGAAATCCACTGTGGGAATGTTCAAGGCAAACTCAAATCCTGAAAACCCATTTCTCAGATTGTTACGAAAACAGCTGACTTTTAAAATTATGTTGCATCAAAAATACAAAGAGAAAAAAAAGGGGGAAGATGGAAGGAGATCAGGACTGCCGTCCCTTAAATTAAACTATAAGAAACAAAGTTAAAATACATTTATAATGTACTGCTTTGCTCGCAATGCAAACACAACAGGCACTTCAAATACTACTATAAAAGTGAACACAATTATACACAATTATGTATACATACACACACCTATGTATCACCAACAGCTTGCATGGCGCTTTACAATATCAATACAACAGGGTTACAAGCGCCCTGCGTATGAGAGCTTACAATCAAAAAGGGAATTTGAACATATCCAAGGCTCCATGACCTACAGGAATCTTCTTAGCACAATAGGCAGGCAAGTAAACATATTATCCTGTATGTACTTGTGACTGAAGAGAACAAAAAAAAAAAAGTCTAATGTTACCTTCTGATTCTTGCGGCGGTAGATCTGCATCCATTAATTTTCTCTTGCCACCCATGTAGTATCTGTCTACGTCTCCATGCCTTTGAGGATTCTACCAAAAATAAAACTTGAAATGTCACCATAAAAGTGCACTGATCACAGCGTAATGTGTAATCTCTAAAAACGCAGGAAAGAAAACAAAAGGTTCAGAAAAAAATGTGCAAAAAAAAAATACAGCGTATATATATATATATATA